CACCTTTCAAAATAGACAAAAGTTATATTCCTGGTTGGTGCATACCAGAGTTGTTTCCTGGCAGTAGGAGGGATTAACTGTTCCACAGCCACAGAGACACCAGGATAAGGGAGTCTGATGTTGAAATACATTTGAACTGCCTGTCTGCACCACTTACTTGAGATTGCTCTATTAGGGGAAAAAGTGTTAGATCAGCCTAACCTGTGTCTTAGTGCTGGCTCCCAGGGAAAGTTTCATCTAGATGTCCTGCAGCACCAGCCAGGCCCATGACTCGGGTGGAAGGAGCTCGGCTGACAGCCTGGGCTGCCCCTGCAGGGCCACACAGCCCCATCCCACCCAGGAGAAGGGGCTCCACCACAGGCAGGGATCCCCTGCTTTGCCCCCATTGCCCACAGCCCCAGCACCACAGGGATATCCACGAGACAGAGACAAGGGTTTACTGAACGTGCTGTATTTACAAGCCAGTATTCATTTGCTACTCTTGTTATTTACAATTTATTTACAGTTAACCCCTGTAGTGACTGCTAATTGAATCTGGCAGAGTTATACAGAATTTTACTGCAGTCTGACAAGGCAGAGTAGTAAGAGTTTCTCTTTTTTTCCCTTTTCAGCCCTGCCAAGGGAAGGGTTTTACTGATTTTTCTTGCCCTGAGCCACGAAGGGATTACCTGTTAATCAATAATCCAGGGAGCAGAGGTGACTCAGGCTCTGCTGCTGAGCACTGCTCAAATCCCAACACAGCTGCAGCTGGAGAGGGAAAACTGCTGCACCCTTGACTTCATGTGAAGTGTTTCCAGGGCTGACGGTTGGTTTTCCTGCACGTGCACCCAGCATGGCATCCAGCCAGAGCCGGGCAGCCAGTGCCCTCCAGCACATCCCAGCATGGCTCTGCCAGACACAGAGTGTGTCACAGATGGGTTCTGTTGGGATGTGGATGCTCCTTGTTCCCCTATCTCTGAGCGCAGATCGGGGACTGCCCAGGGCTGCAGGTACCAGGCTGTTGGTGATGTGGGAGGATTTTGCATTGCCTGCAGGTCACCACCATCCCTCCTGGGAGGATGGCAGGATCAGGAGGAACATTCCCCTCCTGGGAAGGAGGCTCCAGCAGCCTCCACCACTAGCTGCTATGGAACTAAGCAAGCCTTCACAGACAGCTGCACAGACAGCATGGGAATTACCCTCCTTCACCATGCCAGGAGGCTCCTGACAGCCCTGCTGGATGTGGCTCTGGGCTGTGTGAAGCTCTTCCACAGATCATCCGTGACTGCCCCTTGCCTCCACTAGCAGGAAATTAGACTTGTCCAGGCAACAGGCAGGGACTGACTGACTGACTGAAAGGCTGAGGCAGCCCCTGTCCTGCAGAGACAGCTTTGCCCAGGCTGCAGGTCAGTTCAAGGGACAGGCTTTTCCCCTGGGCTCTTTGCTCCAACCTTCCTCTCTTCCACAGACTCGGTCGGGTTCAGACTGGATTTTCCTCAGAATACTAACAGGGGCTCAGCAAGTGGCTGGCTGTTCCTGGCTGTTCCCTTTTCAGATGGGTTTGCAGCCCAGCTGTCAGAGTAGTCTCACAAAGGGACTTCTGGCTCACTCTTGTGAACCCCGGGTTTTCAAGCCATGCAGAGGACAATGATGCTATTCATGCCCCAGGACCCGTTGCCCAGGACTGCCAGCCCTGGCAACCCACCTCAGAAGCCCTGCACAAACATGGTTCCCACTGCCACTGCAGCCTGGAGTCCCCTGGGAGCACACATCCTGCCTTCCTGCTCAGGGGACGATGGCAGACTGCTGCTTCCTCTGCTCCTGCCTCATCTTCAGAGCCAGTATTGCCCGTCGGTACAGGTCTGGGGAGGAAGGGAAGTGGTCAGGCACTAACACAGGGGCCAAGCTCTAGGGCTCAGCCTGACACCCTGTGCTGAGCAAGGGCTGCAAGGACAACCCGGGCTCCAGCACAGTGCACTTGTGTGACCACCCTGCATCCCACACAAAGGCAGAGGCTGCAGCATCTGCCTCACCAACAGCCCCCACCGTGCCCTGCAGCAGCCCTGATTGTGCCCGTGTCACCACACCAGGTGCCCCATGGCCAAGGACTCCTGCACAGCTCACACCCCACTGCCAGCAGGCCAGACTCCCCGACACTCCAGCAAAACCTGTCCTGGGAAATACCAACCAAAGGTGCTTGAGAACTCCTCATGCTGCTGCTCCATGGCAGGTTCCTGCGACTTAATTTTATTCTTGATTTTCTTCTTCTTTCTCTTTTTCATGCCCTGTGCTGGATGGAGAAATACAACATTTCAGGCACCACATATGGGCAAGGATGCATTTGTCACCAAACCAGCCAGGAGGACTGCTGCTGGTGGATCTGCAGTCCTTCATCACCTCTGTGCATCAAACCCTGCTGAGATGCTGGGATGTGTCCCTCCTCTCCCCCAGTCAGACCCCATGAACCCACTCAGCTGATGTGCAAGCAAAGCTACCTGAGATGGCAGGGACCAGAGCTCTGGCACACCACCACACTGCTGGCTCCCCAAACCACCTCAAAGGGTATCTCTGAGGGTCCTGGTGCCTGCTGTGCCAGCAGCCCCC